GAGAGAGAGAGAGAGAGAGAGAGAGAGAGAGAGAGAGAGAGAGAGAGAGAGAGAGAGAGAGAGAGAGGGAACCGTACCATCTCTCCTTGTAGCTGTTTCAGACGTCCAACCTTTCCATTCCTGTTGACAAAGCCGGCGTCCACTCCCTCTGCTTCAACCTCTTGCCACCATGCAGCTACATGTGTTAAGTGTGGAGTGCTCTCAAAACAAGAGCAAGCCATTCGGCGAAAGATACATCCTTGTCCCATCCCCATTGTCATCAAAGCACCGAAACCTCCATTGCCGGCGACTGCCGTTCCTCCTTCCCCTCCTTCGGCAATTATGCCGCTGTTGACTAATCTAGTCAAAGCTTTGATTATGTTCACCACCTGCATCTCTTCGGTCATTGCCGAACCAGCACACTTGATCATTGTCCGAGTAACGCTTATGAAGCCATCTTGCATCCCCCATTTCCAACCTTTCCTTAATCCTCTCAAGTAACAGCTACGTATTTTGGGGGGTGTGAGATGGGTACGTAGGTGTCACTTGGGAAGGGTTAAGGGAAGGGTGGAAATGGGGGACGCAAGATGGCTACATAGGCGTTACTTGCGCAATGCTCAAGTGCGGTGGTTGTGCAATGGCCGAGGAGATGCACGCAGTGGACACAAGCAATGCATTGATCGGATTAGTTGAAAGTGGTGTAGGACGAGGGGAAGGAGGAACGGCAGCCACGGGTAGTTTAGGTTCGGGTTCCTCAATGATGATGGGTTTGGGACTGGACGTAGTGGAGCTTTCGCCCAATGGGGTGCTCTGTTTTTTAGAGCGCTGGCCGAGATGCTGCCTTACTCAGGGCTCTTGGCGTTGCATGCCGGGCGAGACGTGTTGCAGGCAAAAGCGGAGTTGCACCACACTTGACACATGTAGCTGCAAGGTGGTGTGAGGTTGAAGCAGAGGGAGTGGACAGGGGCTCTGTGAACAGAAATATTGCACTTACGGCCGGATCTACCTCAGGAAGTCCCTATGTAACATGCCCTGTTGTTGTCCCAGTGAGTAGACCGAGAAGGTTGCAAAGAAACTGGAGCTGTTGCAAAGTCTTTGGCGTTGCTGTGTCGTAGTGGTTGGGTCTCGTCCAATGCTCTGTGGGTGAAATATATGGTGCTGTGGCTGGCAGTTTTTGTATCTGGTGCGATGAGGGAATGAAGCTTCCCTTCGACGAAGGGAACCCCACTTGGCTGATCTCTGCCTGTTTCCACTTCTGTGGCTTTGCTGCGCACTCTTTGTATGTCTTTAGCATGGCTTTGTAGCTTCCTTTTTTTTGTGGGGGGTAGGTTTACTGTGTGTCGAGGGTACAATGACGCATGTGGCCGTTTGTTGTGTGTAGCGCATGGGACTTGTCACAACCCTGAAAGGGAGAGGCAGACAACGTTGATGTTAGGGAAACACTGCGGAGTTCCGTCTGTTTCTATTTTCTGTTTTTGTGTCGCAGACTCACAGCTGTATCGTATACTGAAAATAAGACTGCTCAAGGATCAAGTCCAAGCATGTTTGAGTTTCTTGTGAACTATTCTGGCACGGTGGCCGACGGGCTTTTTTTAAGCCTGTGCTGTCAGAGCCGGTGGGAGTCGCTTTGGGATTTGACAAGTACACATGTTGGGCACAACAGGGTTTGATACCCAGATCTGTCCCCAAGGATTTTCAAGTTTTCTTCAGTGTGTTTCTGAGGTTGTCGCTGCTGGGTTTTGAACCCAGTTTGGCATATTACGGATCTTTTGGGCCAGTTAGGTTTCGTACATGGTTGTTGTAGTTGTAAACTTGTATGTGTGGGTAGCAGTAGGCGCGGGTAGCAGTAGGCACGCCATGCTTTTGTATTTTGCGTTCTCCTCTGAAGCGCACTCACAACGTTCGGCACACTCTCTCACTTCAGTTTGTCACTTCTGGATGGTCGTATACAAGAGAAGGGGGTAACCATATTTCCCCATCCATTGATGAAGGGGAGAAGAATAGTAGCCATAGCTGTGGCGAAAGCGCAGCCATTGCTGCGAAGAATGTAGGTGGTGCTGTATGGCTTCGTGTGCCGTTTGTTGCATCTTGTCATGGGCTGATGTTTGCCCAGCGGGACGTCACTTCGGTACGCTTCCGTCTTGATTTTAGCCGTGTTTGAATGAACGTTGGTTTGTTGGAATAGCAGTTGAGCGCGCATGTTTGTTTCCACGAAGTGTGCTTTTGTCCTTTGATTGGGTGATGTCCTTGTCTCTTGATTTTAGTCATGTTCGAACGAATAACGGTTTGTGGAAATACCTTTAAGCGTGCATGTGTGTTTCCACCTTGTGCGCTTGTTGTGAATGTTGAGCGGGTCAAGGAAATTCCTGCATATTGTCTGTACAYTGTCTCTTATACACATCTAGATGTGTATAAGAGACAGCTCTTCCGATGATTGAGTCATATCTTAAGTGTGGGTGATGTCCTTGTCTCTTGATTTTAGTCATGTTCGAACGAATAACGGTTTGTGGAAATACCTTTAAGCGTGCATGTGTGTTTCCACCTTGTGCGCTTGTTGTGAATGTTGAGYGGGTCAAGGAAATTCCTGCATATCGTCTGTACATGTGCAACCAGATTAGGACTCTTCCGATGATTGAGTCATATCTTAAGTGTGCTTTTGTTCTTTTCTTGGGTGACACATTGGCCAGATTGTGGATGAAGAGTGCAGTCGATCGGCCAATGGCGTTGGATTCGTGGGATTTCCTTAACAAACGAAGTTGGTACCCTTTTTGGTGATGGGCATTTGTGTGTTGCAATGTCGTACTCACGCCGGCGCAGAGATTAAAATTATCAAATGCAGTTGGTGTGGCTGTGCATGGCAAGAGTGCGACCATTGGCCTGGTTGTGAAATGCAGGGCGATTGATTTTGCACAATGGCCGTTGGTTTCTTGGGATTTCCGCACACACGTTTGAAATTTGTGCTTTTTTCTGTGACGGGTGGTTGTGGGATGCTAAGTCCTGATCCTACTGGCACATAGATTAATCTGTGCCTGTGGGTGGCGAGAAGGTGACCATCGACCTGACTGTATGTGAGGCAATCGATCGCCAAATGGTCGTTGTGTTTATTTTATTTGTTTCTTAAAACTTTTTTTATTTTTTTTGGGGTTTTCCTGTGCGCAAATGTGTTTCACCTGATGGGTCTTTGTGTGGTGCCTTGTGATTGGTCGCAAAAATAAAGGAACGGGGTGCCCCGCCCCTCCTCCCTGTTGACACTGTGGGGTCAGTTGTGACTCCCCTTTCAGACTGGAATTAGTAACCAACTTCATTTGGATAAAAAAGAAAGAGAATGGAGGTGACACGGAGAGCCCATTTTGACACTGATGATGGAGTCAGGAAATAACGATCTTGCTGCATGGTGGGGTCCCATACGTTGGATGCGTTACTAAATTAATTAATTATTGGAATTTAATGCCATCTAATGGTGGTATCTGGTCGCAGGTATCCGTTGGATTCATTACTTGATTAAGTCATGGTTACTGGATCACATACGTTGGATTGATTATTTAGTAATGTAATAATTCATGGTTCCCACCCTTCTGGCAAATGTTTTTGAGTTTTTGTTGTTGGCCAAAATTTTGCAACTCTGTCGTATGCCCTCTTTTTTTTTTCCCCTCAGGATTTTGCCACGCGATGTAGGAAAGGACGTGCAACTTGTGAGAGCACCTCTCACCTGCACGCACACGTTTGCGTACAAGCACATTCCGATGCACACACACTGAGTCTCTCACATACATATGCACACTGACCTACACTTACGGACGTATCAGGCCTGCACACGTACGCAGACATGCTTAAATTGTTGAACTCATGGACACACGCATGCGGACATTTGCATCGAGGTGCAATGTGTTTAAACTTTAAACCACCAGTTCTTGGCCCAACTATTGATGCCGAGCCTCGAAGCACCCTGCGTGCCAGGTTTTGACGGACCACCAGCACAACGTTTTGTTTTCATTTTGGCCGGCGCCTCCAGCCATTGTGGTCTGGTACCATGAAGCCCTAAAGGCGCGGCAGGTCAACGGGGAAGCGCCGCGGCCGATGTATGGGCCATGTACTGGTAGTTCAATTGTTGAACTCTTTTGTTTTGGATGACATTTGCACTGTTGTTTGGAATCTTTGGATTGATTTCGTAGAGTAAGGTTGCTTAGGCTTGTGGGGCTTATTGGGCGACGCATTCTAGGGAAACTTGCATCGAGGCGCAATAGTACAGTTCCATTCTTTTTGTCTTTTGGTTTGGATGGGTTGTGTCGAGTTTTGGTAACTTGAGTTTAATGTCGGAACCCTTTGGAGGGTTGACACATATTAGATCGGGCAAGAATGGTTTTGGTGTGGTCCTGTGGAAATCTTCCGATACCCATAGTTCGATGACTCGGATAAATATCCCAGGGGCCGCGGTTCGTAAACCACCTCTGCCTCCCAGCTTCTTTTTGCTGAGGCGGAGTAGATCTGCGTGCCAAGCTTTGCCGAAGTGCCAGCGCAATTGTTATGATCCTGACCAATTTCGAGATACACATCCGTCAGATAGTACAATGCCGTCCAATTGCAGAAAGAAATGAATGAACTTGAGAGGAGAGAGGGGAAGAGAAGAAGAAGTAAGAAAGGAGAAGAAGAAGATGTACACCACCGGCATAGACATATGACAAGGCTCTTCTTCTTCGCCCAACAATCTCCTCCTCCTTATCTCCCCCTTTTCTTATTCGTACAAGAAATAAAAATACAATGTTGAATGGCTGATCCAAAATCAATGCCCGAGTTTCTCTTCTACTGTCGGCATCACTTGAGGTCCACCATAGCCATGGCCGCCTCTTCCTCCCTTCATCATCATAGGCCAAACTACTAGGCCTTGCCCAGATGCCCAAAGGACAACCCAAAGCATCTATGGCTGCTCCGCCTGTTCCTCCCTTCATCATCATCATAGGCCGAACTACTAGGCCTTGCCCGGATGCCCAAAGGACAACCCAAAGCAACTATGGCTGCTCCAACTCGGTCGCCATGCCTGACTCTGCCTCGAAGCTTCTTGGTGTAGCTCTCCCCAGTTGGGGACTCCCTGCTGCAGCGCCCACCAAGGTGATGCCACCATAGTCAGGTAAGTACCCCTGACGCTCCTCCCCCTTCCTGTCCTTCTTCCTCCTCTGTGTCCTTCTCCTTCCCCCAGCAGCGCGGCTCCGGATAGCGCTGCTCCAGCCGGTGCTCCAACCAGTGTGTCGCCAAACTCGCACATCGAGAATGACCGGGCTCTTCGCCCGACTGGGAGATATAGCGGCCTGCTTGCCTCTTCGGGCGGTGACTTCCAGGTCGCTCGGCCTTCCAAGCAACCAGTACCTCCTCCCTTTCGTAGGGAAACATCATTGCAGACTCTGATATTGCCCGTACAGGCCCTGAACCCAGACTGGTTGGACTGGTACCCGCCTAGACCTAACCTACAACTACCGGGCTTCTAAAAATGCCACTTTTGTCTTCTTCTGCTCGGCCTCCAGTACCCGCACATCTACCTCTTCAAGGTGCGGTACCGGCCTACCCGCTACTTGAGTGTTTTTCCCACTGCAATCCCTCAATGTCACGGCCACATGTAAGTACCGACCCTGAGGGCCCAATGAACAAGCAAGTGCCCTTGCGGGCCACACACACACTCAAGCCAACCAACACTCAAACAGGCACGGCCACACACACACTCAAGTCAACCAGCACTCAGACAGACATGCAGTCCAGCAAGCGTGCACACACAGACTTAGTAGCAGGCGGGAAACTCAGCAAGGCATTCAGTCTATGGGCAAAACTCAGAAATCAACCGTGTGTTTCAATCCATGTTTTGGACGGGTCATCACACTACTCCCCCCTCAAGAGCGAGGTCCCTTCGAGCGAGCTGGGCAAAGAGGTTCGTAGAATACTTCGTCGCAGTGAGCCTTGCAGAGATCTTAGGAGTAGCGTTAGCTGCGATTTGTCCATCGTAGGCTTTAACAACGCGTGGTGCGCTGCGTAGCACTTCCTGCTTGGATATCCAGTATAGATCGTCCAACGGGTGATACATGAAGTGAAGCTGGTAATCCTGGTACTGTCTATTGCGTCCCTTCCCTATATGCTGTTTGATTCTGTCTATCTCATGCCCACCTTTGATTGCAGGAGGGATCATGTCTTCGCGATAATCGAACGTCTTAGCGTCATGGTGGAGGTACAATTTCGATGCATGGAACACGGGGTATGTGCGCAGATGGGTTGGCACATCAGCTACGTACGAAGGGCCAAAGTGATGTTTGCCAATCACATCCAAAACTTCCCACGGACCACAATAGAGTGGGAGAAGTTTGCGAGAGACTCCCTCTTCTTCTGAAAATTTAGACATCTTGACCCAGACATAGCTTCCTAGCTGAATATCCGACGGTCGACGCCTCTTGTTTGCATGATGGATCATGACGTGCTGTTGCTTGGTCATCGCTGCAATGGCAACCTTGAGCAAGCGATCATACTTGGCCTTGAAGCCAGGCCTGCCGGGTGTTAAGCCAGCTGGCTGCTCAGGGAATAGGTAGGAGAGCCGATTACGGATGTACCAACCGTAATGCAACCTGTTGAGTGTCATGCCGGTGGTAGAATGAACGGAGTTGTTGTACAACCCCTTACCGAAATACAACTCTTCATCATATGTTTCCTGATTCGAAATAATCAAGGTGTGAAGAAGTTGAAACACAGTCTGGTTGATCTCCTCAGCCAAACCATTGGCTTCGAGGTGTCGGCCAAATGTCATACACAACCTGATCCCTGGTTGAGCCGTGAAGTCCTTCCATTCAGTACTAATGAAGCGACGATCCCGATCGCTCACAAAGGTTTTCGGGGTTCGAACTGTAGAATGTACTTCTGGTTGAACTCACGGATCACTAATTCTGTTGGAGCGTGAGGTGGCAAAGGAATCAGATTAAAGAACTTAGAGAATTGGTCAACAATCACCATGACTTGTGAGTAGCCGCTCTTACTTACCTTTCCCAAGTCGGGGAAGTCGATGGAGATGGACTCCATTGACTTTCATGCCATGGACTTTTGTCTGCATGGTTTGATTCGTTGACAGACTTGACATTCAGCCACAAACTTTTCAGCAGTCCCTTTCATGCCAGGCCAATCAAACTGTCTCAGCAGATTTGTGTACGTCTTT